TCCAAAATTCTTGAGTGTCCTGATTACTATGGAAATCCTAAACAAGATGGCCCTCCTCCCACTGACTCAGGTGCCAGGATCAAAGCAAACAGAAATCCATTAGACGCTGAATCTGAGGATGAGTTCTAGCCAACATTTAAGGAACTAGCAAGATCAGTCCTTCTCAAACCTCACAGAAGAGGGAGGAGGAAGAGGAGCAGAAGGAGGAGGAAGAGGAGGAACAGGAGGAGGAAGAGGAGCAGGAGGAGGAAGAAGAGGAGCAGGAGGAGGAGGAGGGAGAAGAAGCAGCAGGAATGTTTCTGGGTGCACTCTGTAAAGCCAGTATTATTCTGATACCGACACTAGACAAAAACTCCATGAGGAAACCATACTCAGACAGCCTTGGCAAGCACTGATCTCGGCCTCAGTTCTTGCCTCCAGGTTCCTGCAATGGTGTCCCTTGGAGCATGACCTGAGAGTTGTGAGACAACATAAACCCTCCATCCCTCTCCTTCCCAGGTTGCTTTTGGCCATGATGTTTTATCATGGCAACAGAGAAGTGACTAAGTCCGCTGGGCACTGGGACTCTCTGGCAGGATTCTTTCTGCTTAGAATTGCCCCGGCCGTCCATAATCTTTTGTGTTTACACACGAATTTTAGGATTATTTTTTTCTAGTTCTGTGATTGGTGCTTTGGAGTTATGATGTAGATTGTATTGAATCTGTAGGTTACGTGTAGTAAGTGACACAGGCACTTTTACACAATATTAATTCTGCAAATCCAAAAGCATAAACGGTCTTTCTGTTGTCATTTAATGTCTTGCTCACTTCTTTTCAGTGTCTTAAAGTTTTCATTGTAGAAGTCCCTCACCTCCTTGGTTAAATGTATTCCTAGATAATTTTTGAAGCTACTGTAAATGAGATATTTTTTCTTACTTTCTTTTTTGGGAAAATTTGTTATTGGAGTGTGTGTGTGTGTGTGTGTGTGTGTTACTAAAAATAGTTTTCAGTTTTACTTACGTGTGTGAGTATGGGTGCATGCTTGCCACAGTACACATGTAGAGGGTAGAGGACTACTTTCTAGAGTTGGTTCTCTCCTTTCGTGCTAGACCTTGGTGCTAACTCAGGTTGTCAGACTTGTGTGGAGAGTGCTTTTATCCAGTAAGCTGTCTCATCAATTGACTACTGAGTTTTCGTGTTGATTTTTGTATCCTGAAACTTTATTCAAATTATCAGATCTATACGTTGTTCGTGACTGCTCTTAACAATCAAGGTAAATGGCTGAACGTTTCCAGATGAAAGAAAAAAGAAAAAATTTAAAGTTTGTGTGAGTTCAGGGTTAGAATGCTGGCTCAGCAGGTAACAGCACTGGCTGCTCTTCCAGAGGACCTGGGTTCAATTCCCAGCACCCACATGGCGGCAAAAACTCATCTGTAACTCCAGTTCCAAGGGATCTGACACCCTCACACAGACACAACAACACATGGAAAAATAAAAATAAATAAAGGTTTAAGGTATGTGAAAAATGAGATCTAAAGGTAGTACATATGATGCTACTACTTCAAAGTCTTAACATTAATCAACAAATTTCTGCTAAAGTATTACTCTAACCTTGGTAAAGCACTGGCTACTATTATCATAGTCACAGGCTCAAACTTTTTTTAAATTTCCTTTGGTTGTTTTCTAAATATAAGCTTAAAGTATGTCTCATTGTGCTGAAAATACCTGTGTCCAATCAATCTAAATATGTAAAACTTTTGTCTTTTTTGGTAAACTTGAGAAAAAGTCACGCAAATCCATCTGTCACAGGCCACAGACTCGAGCCTGATAGGTACTCCTTTACATCAACAGCCTAAGCTTCCCCACCTGCTGCCTACCCCTGACGGTGGGCTCTTTCCTTCCCCTGGATCTTGGTACCCACCCCGTTCCCCATCAACTACCAGAACCGCAGGAATGAAAGTTTCAAGTATACACCCAAGATAAAAATTTCCCCCCTAAGCTCCTTAACTTTCCCTTTGTCCCTTGTCTATATCTGTCCCAGTAGATTTCCACTCAGCTGACAGACACCATCCAGGAGCCAGCCATGGCCCTGCAGACTGCTCCGCCATAACCTACACCTCATTATCAACTGGTCCTGGAAAACTGGCAAGCCCTGCACTTGCTGAAAGCTACAATGTATGAAAGAGGACTGGCTTTCAAACCATGGCCTCCAGAGGCCACTTCAAGGCTCTTTGGTCTCCCTTGGGCCCCTAGCTCCTACCAGCTCCCAGACACTGACCCACATTCCAGCCTTCCTGGCTCACAATGACCTCCCCAGCTGAAAAGCAGCTTTAAAAGAGACTGCATTGTTCCTTATCCTCAACAAGAGGCTGGAATGATGGGTCTCACAGGCTGTCCAAACATCCAGAAATGAGCTTACGCTGGACTATAGAATTTCCAGTGCTTAGATGAAAGCCTCCTCAGGAACTTGTGAAACAAGTTCCCATCTGCCAAAAGGAGTCACTTCCCTTCCCTCTGGCAGAGGGACATATGGCTGCCTGTGGCACCTATCAGCATATCCAAGGCCATGCCAGCCTCCAGGCTCCCTCAAGCATCACAGTACTAGTTAAACATTTCAAAGTACACAAGGCATCCCGCCCTTCATACCTCCTCCCCTACTCTATAATCTCTGCAGCACACAGGGGTCCCTCCCAGTGCTACTTATCCTTCTTACATAGGCTGTTCTCTGTGAAGGTCTGAATGCTTTGTCATAGGGAGTGGCACTATTAGGAGGTGTGGCCTTATTGGAGGGGGTGTGGCCTTGTTGGAGGAAGTGTGTTACTGCATAGGTAGGCTTTGAGGTCCTATGTTCAGGTCTGGCCCAGTGCTGAAGAGACCTTCCTCTTGGCTGCCTGCAAAAGACAATCTCTTGCTGCTGCCTTTGGATCAAGATGTAGAACTCTCAGCTCTTCCAGCACCATGTCTGCCTGAACGCTGCCATACTTGATGATAATGGACTGAACCTCTGAAACTGTAAGCCAGCGCCAGTTAAATGTTTTCTTTTATAATAGTTACCTTGGTCATGGTGTCTCTTCACAGCAATAAAACCCTAAGATATTATCCTCTCTGTCTGTCTGTCTGTCTGTCTATCTCTATCTCTCTCTATCTCTTACCCCTACCTACTCCATTCTCTTACTCTCTGCAGCATGTTCCCTTCTCTATCTCTTGCTATGTCGCTGTCTCCACTATTCTCTCCTAGCCTCTTGCTTCCCTAGCCCTGGCCACATCCAATCTGTTCTGAACTCTCCCTCTGGTTGTTCTTTCTCTCATATCTACAACCTCAGCCATATCACAAGGGGCAGAGATTTTATAACACTGCACTATCAGACCTGGTGTGCAGCTTTCTTAAAAGATGACTCTTGCCGGGCGGTGGTGGCACATACCTTTAATCCCAGCACTTGGGAGGCAGAGGCAGGTGGATTTCTGAGTTCCAGGCCAGCCTGGTCTACAGAGGGAGTTCCAGGACAGCCAGGGCTACACAGAGAAACCCTGTCTCGAGAAAAAAAAAAAAAAAAAAGATGACTCTCAAAGTATATTACACTTTAGATAGAAACAAAACAAAAACCTAAGTCAGCCCCCACACAAAACTAGTAAAGGGAATGAAGCCAATAGAAATGTGAGCTCTGACGGAAAAGGCTGTCCACTGAATACTGTGCTAGTTTTTAAATTAATACTGAACTAAAATTTCAAATGCTTGGTTTGGTTTTGAAACCAAAACCGTATCTTTGTGTATACATAGCACACAGGCATAGAAAAGAATTTCAAGGAAAGGAAGTCTGCCATGCCTATGTCATTTTTTAATAACACAGGATGTTTTTTAGCTTTATTTTTTATTTATGTATGTGCATGACATGCACATGAATGTGGGTGCCTATAGAAGCTAAGAGGATGTCGGACAGGACTCACCATCACCCACACCACAAATGTGTCTCGCTTCTGAATTGGAAAAAACTGAGGCCTCCTTTCCGTCCCTCACTGCCAGCACCATGATGGCAGAACAGCCAGAGAGGAGAATGCTCAGGCCTGTGGCGATGTGCCAAGAATCGTGAGCCAGGCTAGGGCACAGCACCAGTTGTGCAGCTGGCAATGAGCATGTGTACAGTCAGAAGGCTGGCTTTGGGCAGGACCAGGCAGGATGCATATGATAAAGAGGCATGGATAATCAACACTGTTCCTGTTGTACTCTGACTCTGATCCCACAAGCCCCTCAAACCCCAACACAGTCCTCTCTCACTGTAGAAGGAGATGCTGTGTCGACGGTGAGCTCCCAGGCTCCCTCAGTCCGGTGCTCACACCCACGAGAACTCAGTCTTCAGGAGATCCAGCACCCTCTTCAGACCTCCTTGCATGTGCACATATAAACATGCAGACAAGCATACACACAGTAATAAAATATTAAATTATATTCAACCTTTAAAAGGTTCATGAATCAGAGCTGGGCACGTAGTTCAGTAGGCAAAGCGTCTACCTCGAATGCATGAAACACTGGTTCGAACCTCAGCACTGAATAAACGAAGTGTGGTGGCAAACACCTTTAACCCCAACACTTTGAGAGATAGGAGTGGGAGAGCTGAAGTTCAGGGCCATCCTCAGCTACAGAGGGTTCAACGCCAGCCTAGTATATGGGTATCTTAGGGTTTCTGTTGCTGTGATAAAACACAGTGACCAAGGGTTTATTTCAGCTTACATCATATCTAGGATGTGAGTCTTCAGAAACCAGAAGAATACCGTAGTGAGGGTCCAGGCCAGAGAAGGGACAGGTATAGGAGGGAGAGATGAACCAACCCAACTTGCACCCCCCTGTAAAACACCATCCCACACAAAGAGAGCCTCCCGACAGTGGCTTCTAAAAGAGACACTTCTCTCCCAGCCCCACCCCTACCCAGGCCCTAGAAAACTTCTCCAGAATTCCAAATCTTCACCAGACCCATGGCACACCTCACCCTGCCCAGACCAGCTGCCCTCCCCAGGAGTGCAGCTCACCTTCTCCACTGACACGCTGGACTGCAGCAGCAACTTCTTCCAGAATTCCCCCTTTCTCTTTTGAGAGTCTTTGTGAAATGCTGGCTTATGAACCGACTTATCGAGGACCGTTTTAGACAATCCAGGTTTGTGACTCCTGAACCGTTTCTAAAAGTAAAAAGTGGCCTTCCAGTTACCACATGGCCCTCCCTCCTACAGACTACAGAGATCAGAGGTAGGGCATGAAGAGCAGTCAGAGAGACCACACCCTGCAAAGAGGCCAGTGAGGTATCCGGTTTGGCCTTAGCACACGCTACGGCTAGGAGATTTCCATTTTAAGTGACCAGCAATTTTAAGCAATAGGGCAGAGACTTGAGTTGCCTTTACAGTAGACCCTTCCTTTGTCCTGGAAATGAGGCTAGAGGCTAGAGGCTAACAACACCTGTTCCTCTCAAGACTTGAGGCCTAAACTGACCAGTCAAAGACCAGTGTCTAACAATAAAGTATAAACTCGCAACACCCTGAAGTACCTGAATCTCACAGCATCATGACTTGTAAGCATCTCACAGCACAGCACATCTCAGAGGGCTGTAAGCCTCATGCATCTCCCAGCAGACCCTGCTGGAGCTGGCCTACATTGTCCCGCACCCAGAACTGGGGAAGCTGGCATCTTTCCTTCAAGCTTCAGGCCCCAGGAATGGGAATCAGACCTCAGCTGCAGAAGCAATGGACTGCTTCCTCCAGCCCTCTACGCCTGTGCCCCGAGTGTCTCCTGTACTCAGGATAATGTCCTCACTCCTACAAGCCCAAGGTCAGTTACATTCCTTCAGCCCTTGCTCCCTTCCCACATCCAAAAAAAATCGAAGCTGACAAATCAATCCTGGGCCTTCAGGGCTCGGGGATGAAGACCATCTTCCTGCACCTTGCCCTTCTGTACTATGGCTTTGCCTATGCAACAGTGCCAGTTGGGTCTCCTACAGCTCACTCCAGGGCCAAGGCCAGTCCCAGGGGGCTTAAGTCTGTGACCTAACATCTGATTTAGACATCTAGAATTCTGCTCCCTGTAGATTCTATTCATAAGCTTTTAAGTCTCCGACCTGGTCAGGGGATGGTCTAGGAAGGGACCATCTCTAAGCCTGAATAAGCAGAGTAGGATAAGTTGCAGTGGGGTCAAAACAGAGAGCCACCCTGACCTCTGACCCCTCCTCCCAACCCCTGACCCCTCCTCCTGACCCCTAACCCCTCCCCCCTGACCCCTGATCCTCTCTATGAAACATGCTCAGAACAAGTGAGCTGGCCTATAGGCACAGGTGGGCTGGGCTCACTCCCTACCTCCTGAGCCATGTTCCTCTCTTGCTCTGTGTCTTTCCAGTGTTTCATCACTGGGGGAGCTGACATCAGTCTCCTCTTCACAGTGGAGACAGTTGACTTCCAGGGCTTGTGTGCCCACTTTTGATCTTCATAGTCTAGATGGACTGGAGTTTTGGTTGCACATAACTCTCTATCTCTCACCTGTGCAGAGAGAGGAGGCAGCTCCAGACCACAAGTAGGATGCTCAGAGCTTCCTCAAGTCCAGTGTTGATATAACGACCCTTACAGGGAACTTAGCATTGCTTCCCAGAAACCTTATACCTGGAAAGGCCTCAGACCAAAGCTTATAAACACAGCCCTGGACCTACCGCTAATGCCCCCGAAAGATAAAGCTCCTGAAAGCAACTGGGTCTTTCCATCTGAAACATGGACAGTGGTTTCCAAATATTTACTTAGTTACTTTTAATCTTGGGCAATCCCACAGTGTAAAATAGATAAAACACTGAGCTATTTTGGGGAAGAATGTAGTACCTATTAGAACCTCTGAGCTCTGCAGGAGCATCCACCCACTAGTATACCTGCAAAAAGGTGACCTCTACCCACTGGAGTACGTGACCTCTATCGCCATTCCAGCTCTAGGCTGCTACAATGTATCAGTTTAAAGACTGTGCTACAAAGTAGCCATTTAGAGACTGCAAATTTTCTATATCCCTATAAAGAGCCTGGGAGACTTATGTGGCAGTGCTCGAGTGGGGAAGCTGTGGGTGGGACCTACTGCCAACCTGATGGAATTGACAAGTGCCTGGAAGAGTAAAGCCTTCTCTGGGTGTGTCTGTGAAGGTTCTCAAGGAGGAAACAAAGGAGGAAAGACCAACCCTGAATGTGGGCCTAGCAGGAACAAAAGAGGAAGCCCATTTCTCTGGCACCCCTTTCTCTGCTTCTGGGTCGCCTGATGTAAGCTACTCTGGCTGACTTGGCTCTCCTGCTACGGCAGACTGGAATGTCCAAAACTGTGAGCCAAGTTAAATCTTTCCTCCTTTTAAGTTGCTTCTGTCAGATATTTTGTTACAACAATGAAAGCTAACAGTGGGGCATCTTCAAGGAGGAAGTAATCTGTTGAAAAGAATAACACTGCCACTACCCATTCCTGGAGTAGGACTGTCAGGGTCTAGATCTACCCCTTCTTGGTTGTATGGCCTGAGAAACGTGTTTAACCTATTCATGCCTCTGTTTCTCCTCTGACACACAAAGATGCTCATTGTTAGGGGATGGTTTTGTGCACTGTGTTCAGATGCTGATTGCTATGCCCAGAGACCTGGTTGCAGTCTGGATATTGGCATTGTCGAGCATCTCCTGTCTCAATGTTATGTATAAATTGTTCTCTATCACCTCTATTGGTTAATAAAGATCTGATCAGCCAACAGCTGGGCAGGAGAGAATAAGGTGGGACTTCTGATCCCAGGGAGAGGGTCTCTAATGGAGACCAGAGAAAGAGCAATTCACCATGAGGATTTGCCATGAGATTGCAATGACAGAGTCACCATGAGAGGGCAGATAAAACAGGAGCAGCCAGAGCAAGACTAAGATGACAGCTAACACCACGTGGCTGGGAGGTAGGCCAGGCCAACATAATTGGGTTAGAATAACTCAGCATCTGCCCAGCTATAGTGCAAGAAGCTCATTAATAAATATACCAGGTCTCCAGAACTTTCTACCCATTAGTGTACCAGCAAAGAGGTGACCTCTACCCACTGGAGTAGGTAACCTCCAGTGCCGTTACAACCATAGACTGCTACAATGTAGCAATTTAAAAAGACTGTGCTACAATGTAACCATTTAAAGACTGTGCAAGTTTCCTACATCCCTATCATAAGCCTGGGAACCAGTGTGACATTAGTGCTCAAGTAAGGAAGCTGTGGCTGGGACCTACAGCCTACACCTACTATCACTCCAGAGGAAGAGCGGGTATAGAAAAACTCTTTACTTTTACGTTTGGCACCCGACCTGAGGCATGTAATCCAGGCTCTGCCATCCACTCTCCTTGCTACCAACCCCCACCACATCAGAGTACAACTCTCCATCTCTCCCTCCACTCCCAGGGTGTTCTCTCTGACCTCCCTGATTCTGACCTGCAGCCCAGACCAAAACATGAAAGGAGACTCTTTGGAGTGAAAGGCACGTAGGAAACTAGGAAAAGCCATGGCACCATGACTGTACCTTCTTTGGTTGTAAAGGTAAAGGGCTCTTGGAGGCATTGAAACTCAAGATAGGCTTCAGCGTGCTGACATTCCAGAAGACTATGTCCCCATTGTAGGAAGAGGTCCCGAGGAACTGGTTCTGGTACTTGTCCATGCTCAGGATGTCCTCTGTGTGAAAGCTCTGCCAGTGGTAGCAGGAGAGGGCCTGTGTGGCCTTTTGGAACCTGTGCGCATGGCCGGAGGTAGAAGGGCCAAGAGCTCACAGGCTGCAATGCTCCTTAGACGAAACCACAGCTTTTAGGATTCAGAAGCTAGCTCAGAGCAGCACTATCTCAGTTGGGGGGGGGGGGGGGCAAGCACACACACACACTGACATCCTAAGCATCCACTATGAACCAAACATGAAGGCTCTGTTCTTGAGGTTTACAAATAATGAGTTTTAATTAATTCCCTGACCTAAAGATTTAGTTTTAAACAAGGGGAAGGGATAGCTGTGACCTTCTGTAACAGAAGGGACCTTGTACATGTTGGTCCTTCTTCCTGGAATGTGGGGCCCATCCCAAATGCTTCCCTGATGCCCCTTCTACTCACCCTCAGCTCATATCTCACCCTGGGCCTCCCTGACTAAGCTGACCATACCCCAATCCTAACTAAGGTTTCTGCTCCCCCACAGGAACCTCTGCTCTTTGCCCACAGCCATCAATATACTCTACAAATCAAATTATCCTATTATTTAATAGGCTCTGAGTGTTTGTATGCACTCAAAATTCCTATGTCAGAACCTAATCCAGGTGAGGAATGGAGCCTCGGGGGGGGGGGGGGGGAACATCTGGTCATGAAAACAGAAGCCTTCCAAACGGTATGATAGAGACCAAAAGAGATCCTTCACCCCTCCTCCAATACAGAGACTGCAGTACAATGATGATTCTTTATAAAGGAGGAAAGGGCCCTCCCAAGACTCCACGATGGTTTGGCCTAAGGTCGTTCAGCTTCTATGAGTGCAAGAAACAAGCTTTCACTGTCTGCATGTCACCCACTCTGTGGTATTATGCTACAGCAGCATAAGAGAGAAACTACACAGAAGAATGAGGTGCTGTTGAAACGGATATCTAAAAATGTGCAGGTGACTTTGGAGGGAACTGGTGGACAGAAGTTGGAAGAGTTCTGAGACAGGAAAAGCCTATATCACCACATCTGGGCCATCAGGATGCTTCCAGTGAAGGCACAGGTGGTTCAGGTGAGGACAAAGGAAAGAGGACAGCTATAGAGAAAGCCACCCTAGGGATGTAGCTCAGTTGCTAGAGCACTTGCCTAGCATATGTGAAGCCCTAGGCTTGATCCCACGCACTGGATAAATTGGGCATGGTGGTAAGGGTTGTAATCCCATGACCAGAGAGGTGAAAGCAAGAAGATCAAACTCCAAAGTCATCTACACAGGGAGTTCAAGGCTAGCTTGACTACAGAAGACAGGGAGAGGGGGAGGGGAAAGAGAAAGAGGGAGGGAGGGAGGGAGGGAGGGAGGGAGGGAGGGAGGGAGGGAGGGAGAGAGAGAGAGAGAGAGAGAGAGAGAGAGAGAGAGAACAAAGGGAGAGAGAGAGTGCTGGAGATAGAACCCAGACTAAGCATGCACTCTTCCACTGAGTTATACTCCCAGCCCCATCTTTCTAACTATTTCCTATGTGATCCTAAGTTTCTGGTAACAGTGTGGATGGCAATGACCATTCTGATATCTCAAGTACAAATGAGGAGCCTGCTGCCAGAAACCAGAGGCAGAGCTATCCTTGGTACAAAGTGACAACAAACTTGGCCGGATTGTGTTTACATTCTAGTACTTCCCAGTAAGTAGAGCTTGCAAGCCATGAGACCAGGTATTTGTCTGGCTGAAGAAAATAACTTTAAAGCAAAATTGTTGAGCGAAAGGGAAGAAAGTCTGGGATTGCTACACAATGGTAGAGCATTAGCCTAGCACGGGAGCTGGCGCTTCATCCCGTAGCACCAGAAAGGGGTGGAGGGTGGAACGTAAGGTTTGAGGCCTTCTCCTCTCAGCCTTTATGTACTGAAAGGAAAGATGAGCCTGTCGGGGTATGATCCAGAATGTTTGATGAGAATACTGTGGGTCAGCCACTTGACAGAAGCTGGGTCCTATGCTCTAAGACCAGTCATTCTCAACCTGTGGGTCACAACACTTTTGGCAAACCTCTATCTCCAAAAATATTTACACTATGATTCATAACAGTAGTAAAATTACACTTATGAAGTGGTTGGAGGTCACCACGACATGAGGAACTGTGTTAAAGGGTCACAGCATTAGGAAGGCTGAGAACCACTGCCTAAGACAATGTAAGAATGACTCTAAGAGCAATCCAGGCATTTGAACTAACCTTCCTGCTGCCAAAGGGTCTCAGAGAAAAGACCACCAGTACAAGTTAGACCTCAGCACCCCTGCCCTCATCACCACACGTCATAGTCTCTCATCCCACACTGTGGTAGCGTGTTCTTTAGCCATGCCACACAAAGCTCCTGAGGGCAACAGTATGACACAAGCTGTCCCAACAGAGATAGGAAAGCTTGGCTGCTCCCATCACCTAGTTCCCAATGGGCAGAGTCATGGGTTCAGGACCACAGCCCCAGAAAGTCACAGGACCCATACAGGGAATAGAACTATCACAGGAGTGTCACCTGGACCTAGGACTATGAGAGCACAGCTTCCCAAAGCCAGGAAGCAGGTTGTCTTGAGGCTGACATGTCCAGCTCCTATAAAACAGAGTGTCTACCTCAGGAGCCTTGTAGGCAGAGAATCAAGAAATAAGATTGTTTTGGAGTCATAAGATGACTCAGTGGATGAAGATGTTTGCTGCCAATCATGATGTCCTGAGTTCAATCCCTGGAATCCACATGGTAGAAATAACAAACTGACTCCCACAATTATCCTCTGACCTCTGCATGTATGCCATGACACACGTGATAGATAGGTAGGTAGATAGATAGATAGATACATAGATAGATACATAGATACATAGATAGATACATAGATGGATGGATGGATGGATAGATGATAGATAGATAGATAGATAGATAGATAGATAGATAGATAGATAGATAGGGTGGGTAGGAGGGTGGATGGATGCACGGGTACATGGATGCATGGATGAATGCGTGGATGCATAGATGCATGGGTGCATGGGTGGGATCCATAAATGGATACATGCATGTTTGCATGCATGCATGGATGCACACATGGGTGGGTAGGTAGGCGAGTAGGTGGATGATAGATCAAAACTTCATTTCAATGGGTTTTAGATTCATTTGGGATCTGCCATTCCTTTCTTCCCTCCTGACTCCATTCATCCGTCCTGTACTCAGTTCACTGTTGGACTTTGAAACTATATAACTAGTCCATGTCACATGTTTAGAGCTAAGAGAGGATTTGCCTCAGGATTAATGGAACACTGGGTCACATCCACATCTGACTTAAATATTTAGATGAGACTTTGGACTTAGATATTTCAGTCAATACTAACCAAATGTTATCCTCAGTACCACCCTCCCCACCACCACCACTAGTTGCTGACCTCATCCCTCCCTCCCTCTTGTTTCTGTTTCTTGGGGGAAGTGTCAGCTCAGAGATGATTATGTAGCTCAGTCATTGCGGGGAGGGGGCAATGCTGAAATTCCTGAGGCCTGTGGGAATGCATCTTGCATGTGAGGATATTAGTTTTCGGGAGCCAGAAGTAGAACACTATAGACTGATTTTTTTTATTATTATTCTTTCCAATTCATGTATTAAAACCTAACTCCCAGTGTAAGTGTATTAGGAGGTCAAGCCTTTGGAAGGTGGCGAGCCCTCTTCAATGGGATTATATGGATTATAGCCCTCAATCCTTCTGTCAGGTAAATTTATAGGAAAGGAAGAGCTCTAGGAAACAGAAAGCAGGCTTCACCAGAAGCCAAACTTGCTTCTAAGACTTGAGTTTAGACTACCCAGCCTCCAGGACAGTAGGAAATGGCTCCCCGTGCCTTGTAAGCCGCCCATCAGTGGCATCTTGTTATAAGAGACTGATGTGAGTCCTCCTCAGAATGAGAAGCTGCCTGCCGAAGGAGGCTGTCGCTCTGGCCATGGCCGTTGGCAACAGAAAGCACCTCACCACATGCTAAGTGAGCAGACGGGAGGAAGCCCGGGGGGAACGGTGGTCAGCAGCTCCATGGTAGCGGGGGGACCCTGGCAGCTACTGCAGCTGCTAGAAAAGCTCAGAATAAGGGGTGACACCCAGCAGCCGGAGCCTCCCACTCCCCTTGCTGCTCACGTGAAGTTGGTGATCCTCTTACTCCACCCAGTCATGTAGAACACTTTGTTCATGTGGACAATCCCACTAATCTGTAGGAGATAAAGAAAACAGAGCTCCAGACTCCTAAAGCACATGCCTTTGAGCCCAGGTGATTTCCTAAACGTTCCCACCAGAAAATCACAACTCAATGAAGCTGAGAATTTCCAGAGTCGATGGCACCACCCAGCTTTCAGGGTTTCTGCTGAGTATCTAACTGAAGGAAGCTAGAGTCCATCAAACCTGATATATCTGAAAGAGGCAGACAATGTGGGTGCCCATGTTCATCTTACAGAAGGGTACGCACACACACACACTGATGGAAACCAGAGGTCAACCTTCAGTGTAGATTTTCAGTTACCGTCCACTTTGTTTGAGGCAAAGGGTTCTCTCACTGGGAACTGGAGCTCACCAATTAGGCTGACCTGGCAGGACAGCAAACCTCAGAGATCTGTCTGCCCCCACTGACACTGAGCTCTCTCCCTGGCACCCTCACCTCTGGCTTTTTGACCAAATACTTTTCCTGAACAGGTTAAAGGAAAAGGGCTCAAGTCCCTAAGTGACACTTAACTGCTGCCTCTGCTCTATGCTATACCCATTAGCTTGTCCTAGAGCCCTAACGAGAACGTTCTGCCTCAGGCTGTCCAAATGTCCAGACATGAGATCAACCTGGACTATAGAATGATTGAGAGATACAAGGCAGAATTCCTCGGGAACTTGGGAAACCATTTCCTATCTTCCAAAAGGAGTCATTTCCCTTCCCTCTGGCAGAAGGGACATATGGCTACCTGAGACACCTTCCAGCATAACAGAGCCCATGCTGCCTTCCTGGGCCTTCTCATTTCCCAGGTTTCCCTCCTCACATGCACATTTGTTCTCTTTATAACAGCAAGGCCCACCCCTTTGGCCCATACCTCTCACTGTTCTCTCTCTCTCTCTCTCTCTCTCTCTCTCTCTCTCTCTCTCTCTCTCTCTCTCCCACCCTCTCTCTTATCCTCTTGCCCTCCCTCAGTATGTTTATTCTCTCATCTCCTGACACCTGGTATCTCCTCTATTCTCTCCCCCTTCCCTACCCTGGTCATGTCCAGTCTGCGGCCACATTCAGTCTACTTCTTCCTCTCTTTGCCCTGGACCCTTCCAGATGCCTCTGGCTATTCTCCCTCTCTCATATCTACAGTAAAAACCTTAACCACACCATGATTCCAGATGCCTCTGGCTGTTCTCCCTCTCTCATATCTACAGTAAAAACCTTAACCACACCATGAAACAGTGGTGTCGGCATTTTGTTTACTGTGCCCCTCACATACGATCTCAAATAGAAGTGAACACAGGAACCTCCAAATCCCACACTGTTTAAAACACAACCCAAAGCTCCAAGGTACAGAAAAACAATATGTCCTTGCACATTTGAAATACAAGAGCAATTTACACCTTGCTAGAGACAGGTAGAACCCTTGCTAGATGACATGTGGACCCAAGGGCTCAGGCAGGATTGAAGGCAGGCAGCCTGGCCATGCTGAGCAGCTTCTCAGACACATAGAACACTGTGCATCCCAGGGTCCCCAGGGATCACTCCAGCTAACAGGCCGTCCTGACCTCTACTTTGTCCGGGTTGGGAAAGGTCATCAGGCACTCCCCAGTGTTGTAATTCCACATCTGCATTGTGCCATCACGCAAGCCTGTGAGGAGACACCTCTCCGACTGGTCCAGAGCCATGGCAGTCAGCTCACTTTCCTGGATGCTGGACACGGGTAACTCCATCCTCTTCTTGCCTGTGCTGATGTCCCACACACTCACTATCCCCTGGAGGCAGCCACTCACCACCTGTAGGCATAGCACATACAATAAGTACGAAATGGGGCCTCTCCCCTCCACTTCTCCAACTTCACCTCAGCAACCTGTGTTCCTGAAAACAGACCTTCCTGGGTACTGTGTCACAAAACCACAGCTACTACTCTTTAATAGAATTAATTTTATAAAGCCCTCATTAACTCAAAAATAGGACCTGGGAACTCAAGTTCCCAGGAAAGACAGGAGAGCCACACCTATGCTAAAGAGTATACTACACTGACCAGCTGCTTAGAATGTCATGACTGTGGAATGTAACACATTTAAACCCAAATGATCCTGAGCTACCTTTAGTTCCCTCGACAGCCATTCACTGCCCACCTCTATGTCTGACCTAGCACTCTTTCAACTCTGAGGAAGCATCTTTCTCCTGTTCTAGCTTTGCAGACCACCAGCTTTCACTGACCCTAAGGCTGAGAAGGACATCAGATAGCTTCTGCGACCAACAGCAGAGTTCCCTGCTTTACTGCCACTCCCACCGATATAGTTGAGGAAATGCCTCCACTATGGCTTGCTTCCTCCTGTGACTATAAACACTCATATAAACACTTCAACATCAGAACATCTAATTAGGGGCAACCTAAATCTGTGTTCCCAGACCATGGCTATTCGTATTTGGTTTTGTATTCATATTCATCTTCTTCACAGTGGGTGAGACTCATGGTTGACATCAACACACTCATCACTCTGTCCAGAGGGGGGGAAAAAAAAAACAGCATGGCATAGAGAAGATGCTTGCCAGAGCACTTTTAGTCAGGACCAAAGTGGGAGAGGACCAAGCAGAGGACAGGCTCCTGGCCCCTCCACAGAGAAGCACTGAGGATACAAGATGGCCGTGGTCCACTGTCTTCATCCTGCTCCAAGGCAGTAGCCTGTGAAGCTATGGTAGACCAACATTCCTGCTGAGAAGAGCTGGGTTTGAAAAAAAAAAAAAGCTGTTTTTGCAGCCCTGGAGAGCCCTAAGGCAGCTGAACACTGAGACAATGATGCTAGAAGCCACAATAGGAGAGCCCTGGCCTTAAACAGCTGAAGGCCACTCCTGCATAGATAGCAACCCTGTCCCACAGCCCAGGACAGACAAGACAAGCCACTGGGAATAGACAGAGCCAGCAGCTCTTTCCACCCACGTTCTTCAGAAGCATTCTATATGCCCAGCTGTCCTGTCCACACTGACACATCTCCTCAGCTGCTGTGCCCTTCCCAGAAGAAACGGACTGCAGCTTCCGCAAGGTGGTACTCTAGGGTAGCTCACAGGGTGGCAACCTTGAGGAACACCCACACCAGCATGTTTCCATACTAAGAGGACTGCCTGCCCAGAGCTGTTCTAAGTGACAGCCCACAGCAGAGATGCTCAGAGGGGTCAACAATCCAGTGACCAGATTGAGGAGCTCAGTCAGATCCCATGGCAACCAGTCTGCAAGGCTTCCTCACGCCGACTCAGGCACATGGAGAGGTCTGGGTCCTGATGCTGTCTGTCACTGGTCCTCTTTCCAGCTGAGGCCCAGCCCTGCCCACTCACCTGCTTAAAGATTTTGCTGTAGAGGACTGCACACAGAGGTGTGTTGTGAGTCGTCATCTTCCCTGTTTTCAGGGGGCCCTGGGATTCCAAGTATCCTCTGAGGATCCCAATCTGTGGAGTGAGGGAGAGAATGACAGCTGAGAAGTTAGATGGGTTCTGCCCTCTGGGACTAAGGCCTTGAGGAAAAACCTCCAGAGACTATGACGCCAAGACATCCTGTACCAGACAAGGCTCCTTAGCAACTCAGAATTCTGTTGCTTCTCCTATCTCACTCCAAGGTCTCTATTTCCAGGCCTGGAATTCCCTCATGTTCCAATAACACTGCGGCCCAAATCCATGGTCCCCTCACCTTCTAAGAGGCTAAAGCTTTACACTGGTGTCCCCTTGGTAACCAGCCTGACAGACGTGAAGATACTCTCAAGAGACCCTCGTGTCTTTCCATCTGACTATGGGACTGTTGAAACTATGGACTCCAGAGAAACGAGAATTTCCCCAGGATCTCACGCATGGAGAAGAAAAGAATGCCAGCCAGCAGGGAGGACTTGTCTCCTGGGAAAGAGATTCCACAGAGTTCTAACAACTCCTCAGACCATCTTACAGGATGAGCTTGGAGTCCAGACAATGAGGTCCCAATGGTGGGTGACCACATCTTTGGGGACTGTTAAGATGCTCATGCCCTTGACCCTCGATTGAAACTTGGATCTCCCTGTGAGACCTCAAAAATTGACCTGAGGGAGGTGTTCTTGGCCTTTCTGTCCCTCTTCCCAGTGTTACCACACCAAATAAATCTTTTTCTGTTTCCCACTATTCATTTGGCTCTTTTAATTGGCTTGTTGAGGACCTGACTCAGCACAGATCGTGACCCACAAGTCCAATAACACCCTCAGGAAAGCCTTCTGTGACCAGTCCAGCCTCAGCTCAGAAGGATACTTCCTGTGCCCACGAACCCATAGACCCAACACTGTCATACAAGGCCTTGCATTTCTATTGAATTTACTTTTCCTTAGTAATACACTCTCACATCCCCACAAAGCCGAGGGTTTAATGCTGTCATAGCCCCACCCAGAGAGCCCATACTAATGCCCAGGATGATTGGAAATGAACTTCAAAGGTCTGGTTATTTTTAAAAATGCTAACAGCAAGCCCGGCACTCAGTAGAAATGTTAACACCTACCCTTCTTTCATTAAACCTACTGCAAAGTGGGAGAGCCGGCCATGTGCACAGAAAGACAACTTGACAGTGGGCCAGCTAACAGTGGGTACGTGGCCTCAGTGAAGCTTTCTAGACAGAAGCTCCTGCTGCTTGTCCACCACTGGGCTCCCATGTGGCACCAGGCCTCACCAGGGCTCTAGAGCCAGTTGCCATCCTCAGGGTCAGGGCAGATCCACAGGCACCAGACAGGTCATAGCTCACAGATCCTCTTCTGGACATTTTTCTCCTGGGCCTCCCTGCCTTCCTGGAGTTCATGACTACAAGTGATGGGACCAAAGAACCATAGAGGGATAACGGGAGAGTCTAAAGGACGCATGAGTAGGGATGGAGTACAGGTCATAGGGGTAGAGAAGAGGACGGGCTGGGGCCTAGATCTCAAGGAGGCTTAAGAGCCAGAGCCTCACAGACTCCTGAGCCAACTCAGCATGGGACAGAACCTACTAGCTGTCCCCAACTCCTAGGATAACACTCACATTATAGGTGCTACAGATGAGCGTGCTGTTTCTGTGGAAGTAGGCGCTGGTTATGGGGCAGTTGCCCAGGGGAAAGAGCTTCCCACAGAAGGACTGGAGGCATACATAGTCCTGCAGATCCCACACTCGAATGTTCTGTAGGGGACAGGCAAGAGGCAGGAGGGTCTGCAGATGCAGCCAGCACCCTAGGCCCCTGGGATGCCCCAGTGAGCAAGGCCAACCATGTCTAAAGTGTCTGCTGCTGCCACAGCCCTGCCCAAGGAGGATAAACTAATGCCCCGGAAATCCAGGTCCTTAGTGAGAGTCAGAAGAGCACTCTTTCCTCCACTTCCTAAGCACCTGTGTCCTGCCTGGACTCCCAAGCTCAGAAAGCGAAAGGCAAAGACAGCAGGCAGCCCAAGTCCTACCTCAGACCCCCCCTTGCTCCCCAACTCCCAGGTCAGTACTAGACTACTCAGAGCAGGGCTCTGCCCCCACCAAGGCAGCTGGAGGTTCGTGGCCACCTCTATGACTCTTCTAGGGCACCTCCCTGTGGGCCTATAGGAAAGTGTGAGCCCAGGGGCAGGACTCAATACTGGCCAAGCTACACTATCACTGCAGGGTGAGTGTCTCTTCCTGGGGAACAGAGCTAGAGGTATTGGGGACAAAGGGTGACACCTTGTCCCTGGAAATGCTGATCAGGATACTGGTGTTCTTGCTGTTCACGAGGAGGTGTGTCACCGATGTCTGATGTCCCTTCATCAGCCACACAGGCTTTTTTGAGACCAGGGGGTTCCACAGGCGGATGTGGGGGTCATAGCCACCAGTTGCTGGAGTCAAGAAATAAGTATCAGCTACCAGGTCCTACAATGGGGCCTTCATCCAGGGCTGGGCCTCAGACTCCAGCCAGAGTTGGCAGCTGGGGGAAGGCCACTGCAATCTGCCACTGTCCCTCTCACCCTTTCCTGTCTCCATCTCTGAAAGGGCCTGAGTCACCCCATCTGCCAGTGATGTAGAACGGCAGCAGAGGAAGCTAGACAGAGGCCAGGTGCTGCAGAGCCTGGCTCTGAAAATCCCCAGGCTGCTGCCACCTGCACCCCAACTCTGCTTCCGAGATTACCTACCCAGAAAGTTCCTGTCTGGACAGTAGTCGAAGCAAAGAATTCCTTTTCTTAAATTCAGTGATGATAGCCTAGGATTGAAAATCAAGAGGAGGAGCTCAGAGCAGCAGCCTGGGCCTGGGAAGGGGAGGAGTGAGGTGCTCGGTGGGAAGGCAGTCACTATCTCTCCACCCCGGAAGAAAGATCCCAGACCTGCCTAGATCCCAGGCCTGCCTAGTTGCTCAGCCAGCACCCAAAGCACAGCCCAGCACCACTGGTAGAGTAGCAGGTGCCCAAATCAGTAGCTTATGGGGAGGCACCCACCCTTTAGGGAGAAAAAGCCCCAAACACAAGTGAGTCTTTCCTCCTGTAAAGCGTGTTGCATTGTTCCAAAAACAAAGTTAACATGATTTTACATCTAGTACCTTCAGGCAAGTATCTTCCAAGCAGTGACACACACACACACACACACACACACATACACACACACACCAATAATAATAACAAAAATAAATAAATAAATAAATAAATAAATAAATAAATAAAAAGCAGCCCAGGGCCATTGGCTCTGTGCCCTCTCTCTGTGCTGGGTATCATCTTACAGGCCACCTGGACTGACACATGCAATCTTTAAAAACACTGTCCTGCTGAGCTAAGGACACTAAGATTAGGCACTTACCTAAGGGTGCCCAGTCACGGACCCACAGAGGAAAGGGGACTCTGCCCTCATGGGTGCAATAGGAAATGGCTCAAGATATCCAGGACTGGAGAAGAGGAAGGGCTGAGCAGGGCTTAAAGGTCAGAGAGACCCTGATAAGATCTCAAGGCTGTAAGGCCCCACACACAGGCCACCAAACTGTCTAAACTTGCCTGGAATGATAGCCACGCTGGCTCTTCCCTAAAGCCTTCACATAACACCATGTCTGCTCTAGGCCCCTTAGCCTCTGCAGGGGCCTGGACTATGAAGGTTCATGCAGGGCCAAGCTGGAGAGCTGCAGATGGCTGTGTATAGGAACAGCAGCCAAAGGGGGCCTGGTGAGCAGTGACAATGACTTCAGAAAGGTAGCGGTGGAGGTAATAAGAAAAGAGAAAGGAGAGGAAGCAGGATGGGGCACTTCACACACTCCACACCAGTTCGTACAGTCCCAATCACTGATCCTCTACCAGCTCCCCTCGACCACCTCAACCACCTCAAGAGCCCGGGTAGGACCAGCTACAGTGAGCTGGTCCCTCAGGGCCCTGGGAAGCTGAGGCTGACTCCACAGGGGTCAGGTTTGGTATCTTCAAGTCTTACCTACAATGGTTACTCAACAAGTACCAGAGACGAACAGGTAGCCAATAGTGCCACCTGCTGGTGTGAGGTGAAAGAGAGCGAGAGAGAGCGAGAGCGAGAGTGAGCGAGAGAGAGAGAGAGAGAGAGAGAGAGAGAGAGAGTGAGAGAGAGAGAGAGAGAGAGAGAGAGAGAGAGAGAGGGAGAGAGGGAGAGAGAGAGAGAGAGCGAGAGAGAGAATATGTGTGTAATACATCCTTTAACCTATCCCAAAATTAAATATTCCAACCTCTCCACCTCCATCCTTGGCCAGCTCCAGGTCACCATCTTGTGTAGCCTGAACTGTTGTGACAGGCTCCTCCCTGATAGCCTCATCCCTTCCTGCCCCTTGGACTTGAAGACATACATTAGATCCCACCACCCCTCTGCTCAAAACCATCTCCACTCTGCTTATGCCTGACCCCAAAGAGTTAGAACAAGGCATTTTGAAGTTCTTGGGGAAATATTAACTTGGACTAATTAAGGGATTCATAAGGAATTATAGATTTTTTTCATATGGTCTTAAGTATATATTAGAGATTTTTCAAAATAAAAATGTTAAGAAAAAAGAGTTAGTAGTACCACGCATCTTCAATCCCAGCACTTGGGAGGCAGAGGCAGGCAGATCTCTGAGTTCAAGACCAGCCTGGTCTACAGAGAGAGTTCCAGGACAGCTGGGCTACACCGAGAAGCCATGTTGGAAAGAAGAAGAAGATAGATGCAGGAAATGGTGACACATGCCTTTAATGCCAGCACTCAGGAGGCAGGCAGATCTCTGTAAACTAGAGGCTAGCCTGGTCTATATAATGAGTTCCAAACCAACCAGGACTACACAGTGAGATCCTGTTTCAAAAATAAAACATTTTTAAAAAAGAAAGAAAGGAAAGAACATAAAAGAAAGCTTGGGTTTTAGCTCAGTGATGAAGTACTTGCATAGCAAGCACAAGACCTTGGGTTTGGTCCCCTGACAACAAGGGAAAAACAGACTAAGAAAGTCAGATATGGTGTCTCATGCCTATAATCCCAGCACTCGGGTGATGGAAGCAGAAGGACCAAGTTCAAGGCCAGCCTGAGCTACATAGCAAGACTCTGTCTCAAAAATCTAAACAAGAAACATGGAGGGAGGG